TTGTGCACTTTCCAGTTTGGAAACCATATTTCAATTTTTAAATGTTTTTAAAATATAGAAAGTTGCAGCAAAGCAGAAATGCTGCTTTGACAAACTTCTCTGCAGAGTTATGGTAGTTAAAATATACCTTTGGCTCAAATCTGTAAATTCGGTGATAAGGCCGAAAATAATTTTAAAACAGATAACGGGAAGAAAAGAAATATAAGTGGAAAATGACAAGCATTTTCACCTGACAATTTTTGCCCATTGTCAGTGTATGAAATCTAGTTTAAAAAAAAAAAAAACTAAAACAAAGACAGCCAAAGAGGGCAAATAGATAGACAGCGAGAGAACAGAGGAATTTTGAACCCCCAAAATACAGAGCTGACTATCCCAAAACACATGAAAAATCAATTCCTAGAGAAATTACAAATACAAATGGCCAATGGAGTATGAGAAATGTTCGACCTTACTTTGATAACCAAAGAAATAAAACAAATTACCATTTTTATACCATTAAAGTAGCAAAGATGTTCTAAAATTTTAATACATGGTATTTGCAAAAGGATAGGGAAAAACTACTTTATTGTTACAACTTCTAAAGGCAATTTGGCAATAATATACCAAAAGATTTTAAGTTTTCATAGATTAATATCAACATGTTTAATAATCAAAAACATACAATTTCATGTTATTGCAGAGGCTAGGATGGGAAGCTGGCGTTTCCCCTTCTCTTCTTGCTGCTGTGTTTTGGGCCTTGTAGGGACCCCACTCGACGGTGAGAATGCAGAGGACACTGACTGCTCTGCTCCCCACCTGCTGAGAGTTTCCACGGCCACAGCCCCACCTATCAAGAATCTGCAGGCAGGCCTCTGTCTTTAGCTGCATCCCAGCTTCACTCTGTTCTTAAAGAATGGAAGACAAGCAGACCCCTCTCTGGCTACATAAATCTCATTTGTACCATTTCTTCCACCAAGCCTGTCTAAAAATCTCTCCACTCCCCCAAATATCCGCCCCCACCTCCTTTGGAAGCCTCTTGTCCCTTGGGTCCTTAGCTCTTTATAATATGGTTCTTTGGCCATTTTAGGGAGGAATAAAAGTGGAGTATTTTCTAATGTGGAGCAAATTTCCTCATTCTTTTCCATCTACAAAAGGTTCCCATCTGTTGGTTGATTCATGACAACAGCAACTTTTTCACTGCCTAGTAACAGGCATGCAATTTTTGTAGAAGTTACAGAACTTGGAAATTACTGCTGGAATAGCTAGAAAACCAAATGAGATATTCCAGGAAATGTAGCAGCTTCTGGGCAAATACATTCATTCATTCTGCACTCACTTCCCTGAGCGCATGGGCCGGACACTGGCCAAGTCCAAGACCAGGCCCTGCCTTCTAGGATTTGCACACAGATTCCTGCAGTCTGTCGAACAGGAAGTGACAGGTTCAGAGTTCACATGGTAAATACTGCAGGGAGTTAGGAGTGGGAAAGTGCCCAGAACTCACTGACTCTCTATGGAAGCATGCCTGGGGGAACTGGGCACCAGTCAACTGGCTGCAAACACTCCTTGTTTATCCCCAAATTCCAGACCCCATCACAGATTGCTCGGGGATGAGATTCCTTATTGTGGAATGTTTCTGGGGAACCTCAGTATGAATCTTTCTCTTGTCTTTGCAGCATATCCTCAGATAAAAAAGCACTTTTGACAGCACTAACAAAACCTACAATAAATGTGAAAGATCAGTGCCTCTGCCCTCAGGGCTGGGAATCACCCATGACTACCCAGCAAGAATGGAGTTCCAGAGGTTCCCCAACACAAGACGGGCGCAACATCTGGAAGTCAATTATGTGGCCCTCGGAACACATTTTCCCATAGAGACAGTACATAAATCAGGGTTCATTCTTCAATCAGGCTGACAAAGCTCCGTAGTAACTCATGTAGTACCAAAGCCTAGTGCCAGACTATTTTTTATGGAGGTGTAATTCCCATACAATTCACCCTTTCACAGTATAAAAGTCAGTGGTTTTTAGCACATTCATAAAGTTGTGCAACCATCACCACTATCTAATTTTAGAACACTGTGTCACACTACCACTGCAACTAAAATCCGGTACCCATTAACACTCCTCCTTCCCACAGCCCCTAGAAACCACTAATCTACTGTCTCTATAGATTTGACTATCGTGCAGTTCATATAAATGGGATCATAAAATATGTAGTCTTTCATGTCTGGCTTCTCTCATTCAGCACAATGTATTCAAGGCACATCTAAGTTGTAACATGTATTAGTACCTCATTTACTTTTCAAAAGTCTTTTTAAAATTCATGCTTTCTACCTCAAATGGGGTTCCATTTCTAAGAACTTATGCTACGGAAATAATCAAAAATGTACAAAAGGATCTGTGTACAAAGTTACCTAAAACAGGAAAAACAGAATACAGGGATAGGTAAAATAAACTTACACATTTACACGATGAAATACTGTACAACATTAATAAACAAGATTTTGAAGGATATTTTATGATAAGATAAAAAGTTCACTGTTAAGTGAAGACAGAAGGTTAAAAATTATACTTATAAATGCATTTGGTGAGAATAACCAATCAATATATATTACTAGGTATCTTTGGGTAACAGGAATACAGATGGTTTTAATTTCCTATTTTTATTTACATACTTCAAAATTTTCTTCAGTGACCTTGAATGATCAAAAAAGTAATTCATCTTTAATAAGATTTTTCCACTGGGAGAAAAAGCAACTTTTGGAATTTTAGAATGTGAACAGAAAGGCACTCAGAGTTAAATTCTGAATCCTTCATGTTTTTATATTAGTTATACATGTGAATATAAAAATAAGGCAATAAATAAGTTGTTTTTAAAAGTTGTGAAAAGCAGAGGAAAAAAATATAACTGAAGAAATTGATTTAGGTAACAGAAAAATTGAATTGATCAATAATCCAGAATTGGTTCTCTTGAAAAACAAAACAAAATTGATAGAGTTTAAGAAATATGACAAGAAAAACAAAAGCTAAACAAGTAAAATTAAAAATGTGAAAGTGGATCTCACCAGAGACATGTATGTTTGAAGAGTAAATAATACGTGCTACTAAATTTGAAGGTGTGGAATAAGCGGGAAAGTAAATTACAAAAATGGACTCGAGAAGTGAAAAAGCTCATATGGTCAAAAAGTAAAAATAAACCTTTTAGGTTTATTCATAGCCTTATTACCTGCCTGAAAGTAAGTTCTCTCAAACTTTCAAGAAATAATCAACTCTAAAGCTATAAAAATGTTCCAGAACACATAAAGCCATGGGAAGCTACCACATGAATCTTACGGGGCTAGTTTGACTCTGAAATCAAAACACAACAAAGGCTACCTCCCACCCAAAGAAAAGCACATACACGCTGTCAGAAAATTCTAAATCCGAATGTATGTTGTTACATTCAACATTACCAGGAAAAAAAGAAAAGTTCTCTAAACCCGTGGAATGAATCACTGTAGAAATGTGAACCGGCGGCAGTTTGCCTCAGTTGTCCATTGACTGCCAGCCTGTGCACCTGTCACAGGTTTTTCGGTACAATTGGAAGCCAGAATGAAACTTAGAGTGTCCCACATTGAGATCTTTTCACCTCACTGAATAACAGACAGCCAATAAACAAACATACCATTTGATTTGAAAAAACAAAAAATGAACCAAAAAAAAAATTACCAGGAAACATTATTAGGAAATGTACAAATATCTAAAACCAAACTGATCATCTAAATTAATGTTCAGAGCCTTCCAATGAAATTCAACATGTTTTCCTATTAAAAACTCTAAATGCCACAAATAAAAAAAAAAATCCATTTACGTAGTTTAAAAAGGTTTCTCTCCACCCAGTGAGTAAACAATAAAACTAATGCAGAAAAGTAAAAATAGTCCAAGTAAAATGAGGAATAAAATAAGAGAGACCATCAGGAAAAAAACCAAAAGCAGTTAATTACATCAAAACAAAATAAGCAGAAGTTTAAATGGAGGAAGGAAAATCCCATTCGTAGCAGCAATGTCAACAATTAATCCAGAAATAAATAAATAAAACAAAATCCAAAAATACCTGAAACTAACACTAACCCAAAATGTTAGATCCTAAACATGAAGAAAATTATCTACCTTGACTGTTATAAAAGAACTAAAAAAAGTTAGGTAGCATACTGTATTTCTAGATAGGATAGCTTAATACCATAAAGAAACATACTTTAAAACATCCCATTCATCCTGTTTGAGTCATAACTTACACAGTAGATTTTAAAGTCAGCCCCCAATGAAAAACTATAAAGTCATACAAGAGATGCTGTGCGGCCATTAAAAAATATGATGAACATTTAGATCAATCAGCACAGGAAAATATCCACCATAAATTGTCAAGAGAAAAAAAAAAGGTGTAAAACAAAGGAATCACCATGATCTCATGGTGTATGTGGGTGAAGACACAGATTTTTAGAACTAAAGATGAACACTCTGAAGTGAGCACTTGATTGCCTCTGGGTAGAGAGGTCACATGATTTTATGCATTTAAAACTTTTGCAGAAAGTACAGCATAACTTCTATAAATGGAAAGGGGGAGGGGGTGAGGAGACAGTTTTTAAAAGAAAAGAAACACACTAAAATAGCAACATTCTGTATCTCGAGATGGCTGAATTACGGTCGTTTTTTTACCTGCTTCAACATACTTTTCTGTATTTCCCAAATTTTCTGTAACAATCAGGAAAAACAAACCTCTGTGCAAAACTGTTAAGGAAACGTAAGCCTTAACATGTTAAAAATTCCATTTGGACTCTCTCGTTCATTTGTGTTTAAATGTGCCAAATTCTCATTCTCCAACTACAGTACTATTTTGAGAATTAAACTTAAAATTTACCAGGAATTGTTCCAATCAGAGAGGAAAGGACAGAAAGTCTGAACTGCTCATATATATCTGTTCAAATTCAACAGGAAAACCAAACGTGGTGAAGAATCAAGAAAAGTGTGCATCCAGAGACTCACTGTAAAGCTGTTGTTGACGTTTTTCGTGCTGGATTCAGCCACACTGGCATCTGTCAGGTCCACCTCATCAAATATGATCGACTGGAGAGAGACACAGGGACCGCGGTCAGCATGGGCTAAGGCACCACGGGGTGGGTACTTTCCTAAGCCCTGGCCCTGGGCTGCCCACCACTCCCCATCGCCCACAGTCAAGTGCTTGAGGACTAAACAAACACAGAGTGAGTTCACCCTACCCGCTTCTGACAAAGCACACAGCTCATAGGTATAGATCCAAAAAATTTTTTTAGCCCAGGGAGTTCGTTACTGATTGCATCAGTGGAGCCAAAAAAATAGGTCTTCACACATGTCTGCCTGAGAGAGCAGGGTCCAGGCTGAGGGTCCCCTGTCCCTTGGGCTTTAGTCTCTCCAGCTCACACATTAGGGGGAAAGGTCCCAGCTAAAATAGATGATTCAAGGAAAAGAGATTGACCCAAGTAGAAGGGGTCCAGCCATGAAAGAAAACAAGGAGCAGAGCGTAAAGAATCTAGCCCTGGAGAGACAGTCAGGCTCCAGGAGAAGGAGTGGGAGCCAGGCCTGGGACCTCCCCCCATTTTCCTCTCCTCTGTCTCCCAAGTCCCCCTATCTCAGCCCCCACTGCCTGCTTACCTTACTGTCCCCTCTAAGAGGACTCCATCAGGAACCCCTGGAGGAAACACTAACAGCTGAAAAAAGAGACTCAGCCTTTTAAGTAACACGCCCCCACACCCCGGCCCCCGAACTAAAATAACTATAAAGTTTGGTTTTTTTTTAAATGAAGGATGTGGTCAGAATCCTTTCTAAAAAAGTTGCTCTGCTCAATTTCAAATTTTAATACACTAACTCATTAGGGGTACATCTCAAAACATAACTGATTCAGATTATAGGTTTTTAAGTAACAAAATATCAGTATTGACCGCAATACTGATACAAAAAGACTAGAATTTAGAACGCCAAAAACCAGGTTTGCAGACACACTGGTGTTTGAAGTGTGTGCCACCACAGTCACCTACACAGGGCAATGATTCAGGAACTCTCACTGGCTCCTCCTTCACTGGCATCTGCCCACTGATTCCAGCTTTAAACCTGACATACGAGACGGCACATAGGAAAACAGATCATGGCCACAAAGCCCAGAGATAAAAATGTCACGTTTCTATTCACACAGCAGGAAGCCCAATATACTTCAAAAATGCTTTTAATTAGTTTCACAGATACATACTTATCTCCAAACTCAACAAGCTGTATACAGTAAATATCTGTATAGCTTTTTGTAAGCCAATCATACCTCAATAGAGTGGCTTTTTAAAAAGATACTTGTGGGAGAGGGTATATAGCTCCAGTGGTAGAGGGCATGCTTCGCATGCACAAGGTCCTGAATTCAATCCCCAGTGCCTCCATAATAAATAAATAAATAATTTTTAAAAAAAATATTTAGTCTGTAATAAGAGATTTTTAAGCTCATAACCCCCAATCTTCACAAAAAAAAAAAAGATATCCAACTGTAATGTGGTTATTTCTGTGACCTTTTCTCCTTTCCCCACTGGTGACCTATGTCATTAAAGAAAAAGAAAATGAACAAAAAAGAACGCTTATAAGAAATAAAACACACTTAAGACAAATAAAACCCAGCACCCTAGAGTATTACAAAACTCACTTCGAAATAACAGGTCTAAGAATCGAAGGTCTCCTCCAGTGAGACCCGGTACCCAGCCTCCCCTGCAGCTGCTCAGATGGTTTCCTCCCATCAAGCCTCCTCCACTGCATCTCACCTTGGCAGTTTTTGCGTAGTACAGTGTTCGCCCTCGAAGCTTAAAGTACCTCCTTTTTGATCGCTGGAATGAATTGTTCTGTTTGGTCAGCATCCCCTCTTTGATGACAGTCTGAAAGCAAAGAAATGGATTCATGAGCATGTGTTTTCCCAGTGCTGTGTGCTCATCTACTGACGGTCCAGTGCACTCGAGTCTCGCACGGAAGAGCCTAACAGAACTATTTCTCACACTCTCCCCAGACCCTGACCTATGGACAGGCTGAGCACGCAGCTGGGGGAGGGTGACAATTCTCCAGGGGGTGATGGCATGCCTGAGCGGCAAGGGGCATCAGAAGCCCACTGTGTGCCTTGCACATGAGGGGCTGGGCGAGGCGGGGGGCGCGGGGGGAGGTCAGCAGAAAGGGCACAATGGCTCGCAGGACCACCATAAGCAGCCCGGGGCCGGTGTGCTCTCTGGCTTCAGTATTTGGTATTTCTCAGCTATTCTTGGCCTCGTCTCCGTGTTCCCTGGCCTCCTGCCATTTCTCAGGATCCTGTTGCCAAAACTGCCGATGTAGGTTGCTGTGGGGTTCAGCGCAACTCGAGGCCTGCCCCCCTCAGCCCTCACCCATTCACAGGCCGGGCACACACATCTACCCATACCGTGACACACAAAAGTGCCAATGCCGAAGTCAATAAAACCTCCACATCCCAAAATCTAATCAGCCCACCACCAAACAGGAACACAAAGTGAACAGCAGTACACTCCACTCAGCTCAGTCAAAGCCAAGAATGGGGCATGGCTTCTCCCGGAGCTGTTTCCTCTCACACTGTGTGTGTCCCAGGTGCTGATCGAATGCGACGAGGGAGCCCTACACACATGTACAAGTTACATACTCAAGGACCTTCCTGATCATTACACATGGTGAACCACTCAGAGCCACTAACAGTCAAAACTAATAAACAAGACGCAATGACACAAGAGCCAGGCTCTCAGCATCTGCACACACCTAACCAATGTCCATGCTACACGGAGTCTCACTGTGGAACGGACGTAGAATGTACAAAAGTTCTGCTCAAAGACAAGAATAGCAGTTCAGAGAAGCTTTGGTTTAATTACTTAATTCCATATGGTTGTGCACTTCAGGTAACTTTTTAAGTAGCTGTGTGAAGCACTTGGGCATCTTTGACCACTTAACATGACATAAGATGAAACCAGACACAGAAACCCTATGTCACCCAAACATGTCAGAAGGCAAGGACAGATCACTGTACTGTGCGGTCAGTCCCTCCATCCGCCCACTCCTAATGGAGGAGGGAACAGAACTCAGGATGCAGTGTTACCCCTGTTAGAGAACACTGAAGACACACCACCCCACACACACCACCAGCTCCTGGCTGTGTACCAGGACCCCAGCCCCGCACTCCAGGGATCCTGGGTGTCCGGGGACACAGGCAGCGCTGCTCCTCCTCTCATCCCCGCCATAAGATGTCCCCAGGAGTGTCCTGGACAGGGTGGGCTGCACCTGCCAGGCACCATGGGATCTGTGCTGTCAAGGCTGGCCTAGCAGTACAAACAGCAACCCTCTCCAACTCCCTAGACAATCAACTCTGGGGAAGAATTACTGAGGAACTGCCCTACTCATTCTGCAGCGTATACCTCCATGTTTCTTTCTGAGGCGGCCACCTGCCATCCTCCCAGGTAATTAAGGAGGAGAAAGGAACACATCACCCAATGAGCAAGGGAAGAGACCCATGCCAAACCAGAGCAAGGCCAATCCAAGGCAGAGAGCAAGCCCCCAACCTCTGGTCCCAGGAGCTTCAGGTAGAAACCAGTCTGCAACACAGAAGAACTGCAAGGTTGTTTCCTAATGTTCCTTTCAGACCCAAGTACACATGGTGATGCCGTTTCAATGTGCTCTTCAAAGGCTGCACAGCTACGTCTGTGCACAGCGGTGCAGATCCACAACACCTGTCCCACCCTCCAGGAGAGCCTTTCCTCTGGACCCCACAGGACCTGCCCACAAACCAAGGCACCTCTCCTCACCCTTAAACATCTTCCTTACCTCTGCAGGGGAAGTAATCGCTTCCATCTCTTTCCCAAATGCAAATTAATAAAGAAAGGGAAAAAAAAGACAACAAAACCAACAAGCTCAGATCCAGAAAAGTTATCAGAAGTTATCTTTAAAGGATAAATGCTAGAGTATTTTTCCTGTATCTCCCACTACACATCACACAGAAAAGGAAAAATCAAAATTAAAACAAAATCTACTCCAACACACACACACACACACACACACACACACACACACACAAATCTTTCAGAAAGCGGATGAGAGCTGTGATCTTGGGCTACCCAAGGAGAGCTGTGGTTCTATTTATAGAACAAGAGTGCTCAGAAAAAGACTCTGGTGGGTTTCAGCGGAAAAGGCTGGGGAAAAGATAAAGACCAGTATTTCTTTGAAGCTTTCTCAGAAACTACATTTCTTCTCCTATTCGCTGCTCGTGAAGACTAGATATGCTGCAGAATATTTTTAACACTCAGTCAAAAGCAATGAACTACAAGTGGTCAAGAAAAGAACACCCCTGACTAATCTGCTGTGTTTTACATCTGGCAGCCTGTAAGCAGCACCCACAGGAAACACCGCTCAGCTGGCAGGGCTCCTCCTCACGCCCAACAGAGCAGAGAGCCAGAAGTCAAAACCCAGACCCAGTGAGGCTCGCTTGCTGGTCAGCCAGGCTCTTAGAATCGTTTTGTCAAGTTCTTTGCACAAACTAAAGGGCCAACTCTGTCCTTCAAGCCATCCAGGACACCTCCATTACCACTAGGGACAAGGAAGGACAGATTTGCAACACACACAGACACTGAGAATCAGAGCAGCAAGTGGGAAGGCGAGCTTTTTGTCCACCTCCAAACAGAGAGACGCAAATCCCAAACTGGGCTCCGGGGATGGAACCAGGCAGGGTATTCAGCCAGAGCTGAGCGTGGCCCTGGGTGCCACAGCCACCTGCGGACCGAAAGACCACCCAACCCAGGCCAGACTGCCCGAGCACCTGCTGCAGGGAAAGTTCAAGTCTCTAGTCATCCTGCTTACGGATGAAGAACTTAGTAAGGCAGCTCTGGAAATGCCCTTATAAAGGCCTCAAACCAGTGGGTAGAGAAGGCGAGGACAGGCCCGTGAGCCCTGGTCACCCCCACCCACCATCCACCAAGAATCCTCTGTCCTTGTGAGTCATGTGCGCCCAGTCGGGGGGAGGGTGACCCCTCTCTGCAAAGGCAGTGGGAGCCCCCTCCCTCGCCCCTGCTTCACACCCTCCCAAACTCGCGGCAGCAGCACTGGCTCCGAGGGCTCCAGGGACAGCTCAGGCCAGAGGGTGGAGGACACAGGGCGCCAGGGAGGGAGCAACTCCCCCGCGAGGGAAGGCTTCCCAGAGCAGGTCTCAGATGAGCTGGGTCTGAGCAGCCAGGCAGGGAGGTCCACAGCCTCCTGCAGGCTGCAGACAGAGCCCAGGAGGGCTAGGAAGGTGACAAAGGGCCCAGGTCACTGACAGCCAGGTCTGTCAGTCACAGGGGCCCCAAATCAGGGGGTGGTGTCTCAGGATGCACATTTTAGAAAGATGATTTTGGTCACAATGTGGAAGAGAGGAGGAGGGGTGAAACCTGGAGGGAGGCAAACTCCAGAAACTCTTATACAAGGGAAGCCAGCAACAAGGAGCACCTGGGAGGAGGGAGACATGGTCACGGGCATGAGAGTGTTTAGAAGAAGACCCACCATTGACAGAAGCCCTGGATCACTGGAGAGGTCTCCTCGGGGAGGATGTGGGCTTCATCTTGGACGTGCCGACTCTGAGGGCCCTGGGGATGCCAGGGCGAGCTGAGTGGAGAGCCGGCAGCAGATAATGTGGCTGAGGCGTAAGAGAAAGTCTAAGGGAGAGATGCCTCAATGACGTCCCTTATGGGAAAGGAATGGACCGAGAAGAGGCCCAAGGAACTGGGAACCCCAGGACACAAACATCGGGTGCAGAGAGGGTTGAGAGTCCAAAGAGGAAGATGAGAAGAAAGTGGCACAAAACCAGGAGAGCAGATGAGAAAGCACCGAGGAGACCTCGTGGGTGATGGCTGATGACGGTTGAGATCAAGTGCAGGGGCGAGGTCACAGACAGGGGCCACGAGGAGTCACCGAGGATCTGCCAGAGCAGACTCGTGACCTGACCCATGGCAAAGCCAGATCAAAGTGCCATGAATGTGACCCAGATGGGAGGAAGCAAAGATGGTAGGTTGTTTTTTTTAACTTGCATGTTTCTTTGTATAAACATGGACCAGTATTGCACATACCACACTTGAACTTCCCATTCTTTCTGTCGTGATGTGTTGTCAACAGCCTTCCATATAGTGAATATACTTCTGTCCATTGCACAGCATTTCACTGCAGTGACGTGCATGTATCATTCAACACACTCCCACTGTGGGAACATTTAGACTGTTTCCTGCTCAGTACCATCAACAGTGCTTCAGAGATTATTCCCATAATGGACTACCTGCACATGTCCTGAGCTATTCCTTCGAGCAAAGTACCAGAAGAACGACTTCGGGGGGTCACAGCCCAGAAACAAACACTTGCAGGCTTGAAAGCGGAATGGGTGACAGTGCAGCTTTGCAGGCTGGGGGACAAGGGGACCACTCACTGAACGGGGCTGAGACATCCGGGCATCTAAGGCGAAAGGCAATTGGTCCTGTTCCTTCCACGCCACATAGAGGTCGGTTCCAGGTGGACTACAGATTCAGTGCAAAAGGTAAAACTTTAAAAGCAGAGGATAGTTTCCTTGTGACCTTAGAACTGGAAAAAAATTCTTAAATATGATTTCAGAAATACTAAACATAAACTATAAGATTGCTAAAGCCAACTTTATTCCAACTAAGAACTTCTGTTTATCAGACACCTTACAAAGAAACCACAGCCTGGGAGAAGATATGTGAAATAGTGCCCATAGCCAGAGAGAACGTCCAGAATATTCTAAGAATCCCTGCAAAACTGTAACAAAGAAAAAGAAACTACTGAATGGAAAAGTGGCAGAAGGCATGAAGCACAGTAAGTCGAACAGTGACGAAAACATGCTGAACCACAGAAGGCTGGACAGAAGGGGGCTAGGAGGGGCATCCCAGGGCTTTGCTGGGTGGACGGGTTCACACACACGG